AGTTCAGACGGTTTTGTTGAAGGTGGTTTATTAACTTTTGAATCAACTCGTACCGGTGACTACCATGAAGACATGAACGCTGATGTCTTTCAAGAATGGTTCGAACAAATGATAGATCTTCTTCCTAAGAACTGTGTAATAGTAATGGATAATGCAAGTAATCACTCCAGACTTATAGAAGGACTTCCCACAACCAAGTGGTTAAAAAAAGACCGCAGAATTGGCCGAGTTCAAAAAATATTACGTACCATCCCGAATCTATAAGAAAGGAACTTTATTCGTTGTGTGCCCTTCATAAAGAAAAATTTAAAAAATACGAAATTGATGAAATTGCCAAAAATCGTGGAATGACAGTACTTAGATCCCCACCATATCATTGTGAATTAAACCCGATTGAACTGGTATGGGCACAGATAAAGAGTGAAGTTTCAAGAAAAAATACCACTTTTAAAATTCATGATGTTAAACAGTTGTTTTTGGAGGCCGTAAATAATGTAAAACCTGAAAACTGGGAAAAGGCAGTAAATCACACTATTAAAAAAATGTGGAAGCTGGACAATATTACTGATAAAATGATCGAGCCAGTTATTATAAATCTTGGTTCTGAAAGTTCATCTTCTGAATCTGATTTGGATTTGTAACAAGTAGCTGTAAGTTTTATATTAATATTTTTATTCATCTATTTAACATACCTTAGACGGTTTTAAAAACTCTTTTTCTCTTTTGTAATTTTTAAAAATTAAAAAAAAAATGTGAATTTTTTAAAACCCTTTTTAATGTAGGCCAGTCAGTTCTAATATAGTGTGTGATAAAAGAGGTCACTTTTGTTTACATACACATAACACTTTATAACACTGAAATAATTCATTTATTTTTTACAATTATTCAAAGTAATTTTTCAATTAATCTTGAGCACGCCCATGGAGTGGTCGGAGATACCAGTTAAAATTATGCTAATTACTCTCTCGTTCATAAAAATAAACTATAATATATGAGTGTTTTGAGATACGAGCCGCGGAGTGAGCGATATTTTGCTTTGAGATGAGAGCAAGATTTAAGATACAAGGAATCGGTTTTTATTTAAATTCACTCTTATTTGACTACTTCTAATTTGCTTTGTAAATAAAAGGTAATTTACTGGTAATAGATCTTTACGGCCTCGCCATTAAGATCATTTTACGGGTCTGTACGTGACTATTATTTAGGAAAATATTGAGACCCATATTAGGAGGACGGAAGACAAAAAATGGTTGGGAGAGAAGAACCAACAATTAATTAATGGCTTTATACAAAGAACCTACCATTACCAAGTTTGTCAAGTCACAAAGAATCAGATGGTTGGGACATGTGGAAAGAATGGCAGCAAACAGAATGCCCAAACTAGTAATAACCAGAAAACTAATCGGCCCCAAAAGAAGAGGTAAATCCAGAAAGAGGTGGATTAGTAAAGTGGAGGAGGACCTAAAACATGTGAAAGTGAGGCACTGGAAAAGAACAAAGCACAAAATAGAAGCAAATGGAGAAATAATGTCCACCAGGTCCTTCAGAGTAGTTAAGCATGTTAAAGTTTTGTTTAAAATAATTGTAATTAGTTAATATTAAGATTACATTTTTAAAATGGCCTTAATGGCCTGTTGTGCGTAAAAATAAATAAATAGGCATTTCGGCGTTGTTTTTTAATTATTAACAATTTAGTGTAAAAATGTGTTTTTTTTTAATAGTGGCTTACGATAGAGATTGAAAAACCTTCAAAATGGGTTATTCAAAATTTTTTAAATCGATTTGTTGCTCCAAAAAGAGCAAAATAAGGCAAAATCATTATTTTTTCAAAATGAACTTACATTTTTGTGATTCATTTTACTGTGTTACTGATTTATAGTACTAAAAAACATACTTGAAACATACAGAACAAACTACACTATATATCTAATTTCATAAAGTACAGCACTTTTACTCAAAACTGTTAATCAACTTTGTTAATTTGTCATTAGAAGACCCCATATTAGAACCCATCATCTTTTAGGAAAAATAATGAAAATTGCTAAGTAATACTTATTTTTGAAATTAATTTTATTAAAAGGCCAGAATAATTACTGTTGATTATTTGTCTTAAAGACCAGTTATTACCTCTACTTTCTTTCACAGTATTAAGTATCAGGGACCTTTGGACTTCAAGAGCATATAATAATTCCCTCCAAGAGCCTTTTGATTTTAATCCCCTACTAGTAAATTCATCCAGCCATATATTTCTTAGAAAAGATGGTTTAAAAATGGCTTTTGTAGGTACACAATGAATAATAATAAATAGCCAGGGTCAGGGTAAATAGATAACATTGTCTTCATAAAGCTGGTTATACTTTGATACATTTCATTATAAAACTTTTAATAAATATTTCTCAAACTTTTTAGTTACCTAAATACAAAAATACTTTTTACTTGAAATTTTATAAGACATTATCACTAAAGTAGTATGATGTTAGAGCTCATATTTCCTTGTTCAATATTTGATTGGGTTTTTCCTGGTCAGAATTTGCAAGTGATTGTAAGTATATTTCTTAGAAAAAATTGGTAATTAGTATTCTACCTGAAATTTTATGATAAGACATAGGGGTGGTGCCTATCTCAATATTATTACTTTTGTTAACCTTTGAATGCCTTTAATCCATTACAGATAAATTTGAAATAAGTGAAATGTTAAGTGAAAAGGACAAGGCTATGGTAGTTATTGACAATTACAAATATGGCTTCCATAAAATGCTTGCTAATGATATCAAATGTTGGATAATTGAATAGACTTTACCTATATAATCTGTTTAAATATAAAATCATTATTAAGAAGCATATTTAAGTCTCATAGAAAAAATTAAAATGTCTAATCAGAACATTCATGTTCAAAGCAACTTTTAACAGACGTTTGAAAGAGCAAAACACTAAGTTACAAGGAAATGAATTGTATAGGATTTGTATATATATAAATGAACCCACAAAATAGTAGGTACATTTTTTTTGTCACTTGTGATGCTAAAAATGAAAATGTACTGTTAGTATCAATATTATTTCTTAAAAATGCATACTGACATATTACAGACTTTTATTTTGTTTATCAATCATATAATTCTGTTTAATAACTTCCAAGAAACAGAGATAACACTTCTTGCACCCAACTTTAAATGAATATGTGAAAAATAGCATGTTCTGTTGGCAAATGTTCTGCCCCAGAAATTTTAGCTGTTTTTTAACATTACATTCGGACCCCTTGTATATATGCTTAATGCATAAAAGCAAGGACTATTACATTAGCACCGCAAACACTAACAATAAAAAAACCCGAAAGTAGAAATATTGTAAAACAAACAATTCAAAGAAAGGTGCATTTATTTTATTTTTCAAAATAAGGTAGTTACTTGGACAATTTTTTAGCAGATAAAAGTAGTGATGACACTTTGCCAAACAAAAAAATAGTCAAACTGTGGAAAATATTCCAAGAATGTGCATAGAAAATATGTGAAAGAGGAAATAATTTATTGTGAGGCAATATTTCAAGAGAATGTCAAAAACTGAGAATATAAGAGTCTAATATTTTTTTATATGCTTTTGTAAATATAATTGTTGTGCTTTGAACAATCCCGTAGAAAGACAAATGAATTATTCTGATATAAAAACTGCTACAAACATTTCCACATGAAGAATAAAAAAAATGATTTATGTTTTTCACTTTTTTGGTACATATCAATGGTACAACTTGCTCTCTTTCATGTAGATGAAAATACAGAAAATTTTTAATATTGTAGTTGATGCATATGGCTTCAGTGATTTGCTTCATTCAGTTTTCTGTGATCGACAAGGAGACATCACATGCTTTTCAGGATAAATTCAAAACAGTAAATGAGAATTATTACTGAATGATATTGACAATTCTATAAGAAAAAATATGAAGAGAAGACACAAAATTATCTCCAAATGTATTTCATTTTTGCAGGACCATCCATTCAAACAAACCAAATCTGGCCTTATCTGACGATCTTGTGTTTTCTCAACTGATAAAAGTCTAAAAGTTCTTACATTTCCTTTGAATTAAGTCAATAGAGAATCTGTGGAAACCTGGTTTGCAGAGAGAGATTAGTTTTTAAAGATCTAAAGGTGTTGCAAGTTAGAAGTAATAAATCTATCCAATTCAGAGATTGTATTGAATAATGAGACAGAATTTTTCAACAAAATATTGGACAAATAAAGACTATTGTACAGCAAATACTGTTTGATACTTTGGAAATATATTCTTAAGATAACTATATGTAGAGATAATTCTCTTTTTGAATATATGTAATGAGTTTGACAAGGTATCAAACATTAAGAAATAAGGTATAATCAAAAATTGCTTAAGTAGTTTCACAGACAAACAACTTTTTTGTCTTTAAAATTTTGAAAAATATAATATACACAAATAAATATTCAGCTAGAATATACTAAATACAGAGCCTACACATAGAGAAAATAAAGATCACAGCTTCCACATGAAGATAGTTTCCTCTATATAAATACTAATTAATAAAATTTGACAAAAATATATCTTGAAATATCTGCTTCACAAAATAATATGTTGATGAATTAAGTGTGCATGTGTAGTAAAAATAAACACTTTACTTTTGATTACCAAACTGTTATTGATAATATTCAATAAATATTTTTACTGAAGTGGTGAAGAAATCAAATTTTTTATTGCTTCATTGGATAACTGTTTAAAAACAAAGAAAGTTATTGCATCAGCACAAAGAAACAGGATTTGTACTGCATGTTTTTTAATTTAATCTCAAACAAGAAGCTTTTTGTAAATTCTTATAGATAATTTGGATTCCCCAGTGTTTCATTCGGATCAAAATAATTATAAAGTTTACTGAATTTAAAGATTATTGAAATAATAGAAAATGAGGCAGAATTTAATAATAAATAGTTGGAACATACAAAATTGCTTTTACATGTAATTAGTAATAAAAAAAACTGACCTTGAAAGCCGTCCATTCCTCTTGTACCAAATCAACAAAGGAAATAGCCTGGCTGCCCACAAAAAATGCAACAAAAAGCAGCAAAAACTTCATGATGGATCCTAGAAAAAAATTTATATTACATATTAAAAATACTCTACAACAATTAATTTTTACAGTTTTTAGAGACGTTGCTAGGTACATTTATTAACTCAATTATATATCTGAAGGTTATTCTAAGATCTAAAATCACAGAAAAGGGTTGAAACCCTAGACACGTTTTCACTCAATAAAATTACAAGAACTTTGTAAAAATCCTTTGTTTAAAAAATATCTAGTATAGCACTTACCTATTTAACAAAACTATTAAGTTGAAGGTCTGACAACAAATGATTTTCAAATTGTAAATTCAACTGTTTATTAATAGTGGTAGTGGTCCTTCCCAGAGCGATATCAACAAAGAATCCCACTTCCTCGACAATCAGATGATTCGTATTTGCTGGAGTGGGGGAAGCAGAAAGACAAGTTTTTACAACAGATGTTGATAATGGCTAATATTACACATATAAATATGTATGGAGGAAAACCAAACATATAATTTTTTATTATATTTTTGAAAACATTAGTTTTAGACAATAATACAAAAATTAATTGACTTAAATAACAAATTTAATCTCTTCTGTACTGAGCACAATAAGTAACGAATAATAAAAAAAGAAGTATAGATCAATTTTGAATTAAAACGTTTTTTGTTGTCTTCATATTATAGTTATTAGAGTTCAACGTTAATGTTATCACAATTTTGTATAAGCAAATATTATCAACGGAATATTAGAAATCAGTAGAGTATCTGCTTTCTAAATTGTGAATTGGTATATTACTGATCAAAGACTCATATCTTCTTCGGAGTCTTTTCTGTACGCTTTTTAATTTATTCGCTAGCTCATCAAAGCAATATTTCGCTGCATCTATTGTTTTTCCAAGAACGGTATATAAAGCTCTCTGTATTGTATAATTATACTTCTGTCAAACAAAGATACTGATTCACTGCTAACAAGCATTTCATCATCATCACAGTCATTAACATCTTAATAGATGTGTTGTGGTTCATAATTGGGCTTCAGTAGCTCGGACAGTTTGATTGATAATATTTCTCCACTGGTCGCGGTCATCAGTTATATGTCTTTTTATAAGCATTTACTGGCATATATTTATCTAGTTTTATGATGAAGTTATTTTCGTTTGTTACGTCTAGATTATGCTACTTAATTACGTACTTTCATGTCTATCTTTAAGTGCAAGTAGTTTTTCGTATACATATTACTAAACATCAACATTTATTAACACTTGGAGTTTTTATAAAACTTTATAACGCAGGTAGTCCGAAACGTTGATATGCCTACTTTATTGCTAGCTTATTTAAATTTACGTACCTCATCAAACATGAATTAAAGTTAAAATAAAGTCCATTTCAATAAATTTAATATTAAAATATAATAATATAAAATATAAATATAGACTTAATTTGCTTTAATATTGCTTTAATAATGTACTTGTAACAATTAATTTTGAAACGACGGTTACATTTATAAAAAATGTAAAGCTTATTGCATTTAAATTTTAGAATAAAATTAATTAAGCCAGGTACTTATATCATAAATAAGGTAATCGTTCTAATAAAGATAAGCAATTTTCTACACGCTTATAGATATAAATAAATTCTGCATAATTAATGTTATATGGTATTCTAGACATAATGATCCCAAAAGATAATGTCATATGTCAAACTGTCATGTTGTCATGTCTCATGTCATAACTTTCTTGATCAAAACAAAAACATGTTTATATGAGTGAAAAATAGTTTTAAAAATGGATATTTTAAAAGCTGAAATAGCCCGTAAACGAAAGTTATTGGAAGAAAAAGAACTTCTAGTACGTAAAATAATATAAGATATGTAATAGCAATATGTAATTAGGAATTTATTTGTAGGGCACTGATAAAAAGTATTTTAAAAGAGGAGAACTTATAGCTAAAGAACAAGAAGAGTACAGGAAGAAGTATTATTCTCTTAACGAAGCAGACGATAAGTCCTCCACCATATCAGATGGTACGACATATTAATAAATAATAATAGTAGATATGACTAAAAATGTTCAATTTTAGGTGACAAAATCGAGTCTGATGTTCAGCATAGTATTTTACCTCGACAAGAAGTGATAACGCGGTTAAGGGATCGAAATGAGCCAATCCTGCTTTTTGGCGAAACAGAAATAGATGCATTTAAGAGACTGCGAAAATGGGAGCTTCTGGAACCTGAAGTAAACAAAGTTAGTAAAGTTGTCATTTATCTACAAGAAATTTTAAATTTAAACATGTAAGGCTTAATTTAATCATGAAAATTATGATTGACAGTCATATTGGGCATATGTTCATGCTTCCTGAAGTATTTTATTGAATGTAGGTCAGGACTATCAGCCACGCTTCTGCAAGCAATTTTTTGTAAATGCTTTTGAACATCTCAAATTCTATTTAATATGTTTGCTCTACTAGAAGATATTGTAAAAAACTTCTAAGAATGAGCAGCTTTCATATTATGTATTATGTATATTATGTATTGCCTTGGTAGTATTACAATGTATAGAAACTATCTGGACAATGTTACATGTAATGTACTTGTTTCTTGGAATAAAAATGGTAATTGGTAAAAATTTGTATAGTTTCTTGTAATACACTAATAAAAGACTCTACTGATTGGCAAAGTTATCCCATATTACATCTCAGGTATATCTCAGTTAATCTTAATATTTCTTTTGTGTTGATAAAACTTGGGTTGAAAGAATATGTTTATATATTGAAGTAAGTGCTAATAATGATATTTTCTTCCAGGGTTTTCGCAATGATTTTCAAGAAGCCATGGAACAAGTGGATCAAGCTTATCTCAATGAGCTGCTTAAAGATTCTGAGGCAACCAAGAGTACAGAAAAAGTTGACAAGAAAAAACATGAAACAACTATTGGCTATGAGGAGATAAGGGAAATGGCTAAGAGTATGGGGCGAGGCAATAGGGAACATGATATGACTGTTATTGTATATTTTATTCAGGTAAGTGTTTTTTATCATAACAAATTTATTTCTTTTTGTCTGTCAGAATATTAAAATTTAAAAATATTGAGATATTTATTATAAGGGTTTTCTTTTGGAGTAGCTTTTGTGTTTCTCCTTTTTGTCTATTGTTTGACTTTTCAATGATTTAACATTTGCCAGCTCAGTTTTTTTTTTATTTTATCGTATGGCAATTACAACACATTTAGAATAAAATTACAAACACTAGTAATATAGGTATATGACAAACTTTAAATAATTACAAACAAACATCAAGTGTATTAACATAATCAATTGACTCTGAAGTTGCAAACAGGAAGTCTTCAGGGCTACCGTTATAAGATCTTAAGGGACACTCTTCAATAATGTGGTCGATCGTTTGGTCCTTCCCACAGTCACATTGAGGAGACGGATTCTTTCCCCATTTATGTAGCATGTATGCACATCTGCCATGTCTGGTTCGGATCCTGTTTAGAGTGGACCATGTTTTACGTGGAAGATCAAAACCTGGTGGCTTGTGGGTAATACAGGGCATGTTATTTTGCCATGCATTCCATTCTTGGGACCATGCATTCGTGATATTGAACTCCTCATGTATCATTCTTGCCGTTTTCATTGGTGGTTTTCTAGAACGTAGACGGGTATTTCGTGCATCCTCGGTATCTTGGTGGATCGGCAGGTTTATATTGTTCATGATCTTTTTGTATTCACGTGTAAGTGCGTCAACTCGTCGTAAATGTGGAGGTGGAATGTGACTTAATACTGGAAGCCATTGGGTGGGAGTTGATTTAATTGTACCAGATATCATCCTCATAGTGCTGTGCAGCTGAGTGTCGACCTTTTTTACGTGTGGGCTGTGTAGCCAAACTGGGGCACAATATTCAGCGGTCGAGAAAACTAGGGCTAAAGCAGTAGAGCGGAGAGTGGAAGCCGATGCTCCCCAGGTGGTACCGCAGAGCTTCTGTATAATGTTATTTCTGGTACTCAACTTTTGGGCAGTTTTTGTTAAATGCTCTTTAAATGATAGCGTTCTGTCTAGTGTTACGCCCAGGTACTTCGGTGTTTTGTTGTGGGAAAGTGTGGTATTTTCAAACCGTATGTTAAGTTCCTTTCCAGCAAGTTTATTGTTCAGGTGAAAGCAACTTACTTCTGTTTTGGATGCATTTGGTTGAAGCCGCCACTTGCGAAAATATTTGCTCAATATATATAAGTCTGCCGTCAGAACTTCTTCAGATGTTTCTAGCGTTCGGCATTGTGTAGTGAGGGCCCAGTCATCGGCGTATCCGAACTTTCTTGATTGTGTTTCTGGCATATCTGCTAAATATAAGCTAAATAGTAATGGAGAGAGCACTGACCCCTGTGGTAGGCCATTTTTAAGTTTCTTTGGTGGGCTGATATCTGTGCCCATCACTACTTGAAACATTCGGTCGTTGAGCATGCTATCTATTAAACGTGCTATTTGTTTACAGGGAATTGCACGGAGAATTTTGTATATAAGGCCCTCTCTCCATACTGTATCGTAAGCTGCCGAGAGATCAATAAATGCCGCTGAAGTTTTAAGTCTTCTTTGAAAACCCGCTTCGATGTAGGTGGTGAGTGACATGACCTGGTCCGCGCAGCTTCGTTCTGGTCGAAAACCCGCTTGTTCGACTGGGATCACCTGGAACAGTTCTGTACTGATTCTATTATATATAAGCCTCTCTAATAGTTTGTAGATGGCAGAGAGAAGCGCAATTGGTCTGTAGTTTTTTGGGTTGTCAGCGGGTTTGCCTGGCTTTGGTATGGCTATTATCTTAGAGCGCTTTAGTTCTTGTGGGATATTTCCAGTTTCCATGATGTCTGTGAAAAATCGAGCCAACCAAACTTTTGTATACTTGCCACAATTTAGTAGGAATTCAGGGTGAATATTATCAAATCCTGGTGCTTTTGCTGGCTTAACATCTTTTAGAGCCTCTGATATGTCTTCGCTGGTGAAGGGGAGGGAATGCTCCGTTTCTGTGGTTACATGTTTTAAAGTTTTAAGTTCTCTCTTTACGTAGATAGTGTGTGCTTTATCCTTTGGTACTCTGGATGTTTTTACTATATGTGATGCTATGGCATCTGGCTTTACGGCTGCCTCTTGACGTTTCGTACGGACACCACTCCCTAATTTTCTTAGTAATGACCATGCCTGTCTGCTTGATTTCTGGAAGTTTAGACTTTCTACTGTTTCGGTCCACTTTTGTCTTCTAGCGGCGTCTAGGCTGTACAGTAGTTCATCCGCTATTTCTTGGTCGCCAGTTTCAAGAAAGCTCTGATATAGTTCCTCGCTATTTTCCGACCAGCCAGGAACATATTCTTTGCGATATCCTCTTGGTATGTGTTTTTTGGCTACACTTAGCACGGCACCAACAAATCTGTGGTAGTTTTTGATATTCGGTGTAATCCACCCTAGACATTTATCTAGATCCACAGAGAAGTCAATCCAGTTGGCCTTTTTAAAATTCCATCTTGGACGTGGGATAGAACTAATTAAAGGGATTTGCGTCCCTACTTCTATTATTACTGGTCGATGTTGGCTGTGTGGGAAATCAGTTAGAACTCTTCGCGAAGCCCCTAAAGGTAAGTCTTTGTTGTCGGTCGAGACGAAGCATAGGTCGGGGTTGTATTCCCGCCTCCATGCCGCAGATCTGAAGGTTGGTCGATCTTTGGCATCAAACAAAAGGTATAGGCGTTCGTCTTCTGCCCATTTTATTAAAGCATTCCCATTTGCATCACTATTTTTGTACTTCCACTGTTCATGATGGCTATTGTAATCTCCAACATATACAGCAGGGTGAGGCTGTACTGGAATTGCTTGGACTGGCCAATAAGTAGCAGGTGGCTTGTAAATGTTGGACACGGTAATGCTAGCGATTTTTGTGACCACATTATAAATACAGTCATCAGTGGAAGTAGAGATTAGCGAAGCATTTTCAATATCTTCTTTGACATATGTAGCTGTGCCATATGTTCGGTGGTAAGTTGCGCCTAATAGTTCATATCCCGGAATTTTGCCCCTTTTTTGTAGTTGCTCCTCTGTTTCGCAGTGGGTTTCCTGTATAGCAACTAAGTCAATGTTGTCATCTTTTAATAGTTTTGATAAAAACTGGCTTTTAGCATAGCTTATGCCTTCTATGTTTATGTGGCAAATTCGAACTATAGGTCCGATTGGTCTAGTTGTGCGGTCCTCACAAGGTCCGTTTATTTTGTTTATCATCTTTCGTTGTAGCCAGCTCAGTGAATTAACTATACAAGTCATTTTAAATAAGCTCCATTTACTTCCCTTGAGGATATGGTTCAAAAGGATTTGATCTAATCTTTACAGCCATGATTATTGAGTAAACAATATAAAGATCTATCATATAAAGCTATAGATCAGTAATTGCAAGGTATATCTTTAATTTTCAGTGAAAGTTCATCTGAAATAATACCATAGGTGTCTACTTTTTTCACACTCTTAAATGGTTTGTTTTGACTGTATAATCATAAAATTTTCTTAGTTTTATATTTTTTTCATTTGATTGAAGAAATATCTCGAACTACATAAAGCATTTTGTCTTGATTTTCTTTATTAAAACTTTTGAAATGTCATTTTTTAGGATTTAACATAACCATTTTGAACAGAAGGTTCTATTTGCTATATTAGAATGTTGTTTGATCTGCTGCATTAAATATAATGTTTTAGTAACTATAAGTACCATATCCTGACATAACTCCTGCCTACATGCCTGTTGGCATGTATTAAGCTTGAAATCTAGTCTGTTGGTAATCATCGTGGAGACAAGTTCATATACTTTTAGGTTTTGAGAAACTTATTCTGTTAAACTCAGACCAAATAAAAAAATCTACAAGATGTTCTGATTCATCTATTAGTACTGCTAGTCTTGGGAGTGTATTGATGCTTTCTAGTACATATTTCTTAAGATACATATTTTTATCGAAAAAATGGGCCAATAGAGCCAAAATACTAGGGGTATTCGTCTGTTAATAAATCTGTGGTAAGGGACATTTCAAAAGGGATTTTAACATACATTTTATTCTGTCGTATTCTCCTAGTAAAATCCTTCTTTCGAAAGTTCTTCTAATGTTTTTCACATCATGTGTTTCACATCAAGTCTACACCCAAATTGATTAACCCTTGTGCAAATCTTATGAAACCCTAACCTAAAATGTTACCCAAGTCAAAAATAGTTTATAAAAAATGTAAACAAAAATTAGATTCTGTTATATACAGTGGACAATGATCTTTTGCAATAAAACTTAATTGTTGTTTAATAATCACCTGCTCTCTGAAAACTGGCAGTGATTTAAGTGCAATTTTTTTCTAAGGAAGGTCTACTTTGCTTTTTCTAGGAGTATATTGAATAGAACATTTCTATCTTAAGGGAATTGTTGGGTCGCTTTTGGAAATATATTTTAGTATCTCGGTACAATGAACATACTGTGCAAGTTCTCTCACACTACTTTTAGCATTGTTATGTTTAAGCAATCCGTCAGAAATATTATTTCCCAAGACTTTTTAAATTTTCCCTTTCGATTTCATTCTCACAACGCGACAATAAAGCACTACCTGCAAACAGTTGGAGCTTCAAACCTCAAATATGCGTGACACTGTTCGATTAGTGAGATTGTTGATATTATTCCCGTAGCGTAAACCACCACCACCGATGTAGTGGGGGAACCCATCGCGAATTGTCGTGAGTCACGCTCACACTTCATCGTTTATGTTTACGCCCGGGAAGGGGTGTACTCACGCTCGCGATTCTTATGTGACCCTTCGTGGATCCAATTTCAAGAAATGTGCTCAACACCAGTATGAACAAATGGCGTCAAAATCGTAACTTATTGGCGAACAATTGTATTGTCAAATAATAAAAAAATGCTCTCCATTTTTTTCTAGTCCATAAAGTATGGATAGATACATATTTTAAGGAAACTCCAGCATATTCAACTTCCCTCGCTCAACGATTCTTTCCATCGACCAACCCAATTCCAATATCAATACATTCTGCATCGTGTAGGCCTCGCTTACTCATGGCGTCGTCTACTTCGTTCTTTTAGGATCTTCGAGGTCGTCCTCTTTTCCTCCTTCACGTGGGGCTCCATTCATCCACTCTTCTTTATCCATCTGCTGTCTCTAGTTCTTCTTACATGTCCATACCACTTTAGTCTATTTTCTTCTATATTATGTTATGTTATATCTATAGTATATCTGTTTCTATTGATGTTCTTTGCTTTATTTCGTCATTACTTCTGCTATTCATTCTTTTTACTCTGCAGCATCTTCGCAGGCATTCCATCTCTGTTGCTACTATCTTACTGCCGATTTCCTGTCAATCTGTAGATTTTCTATGTAGTTTCGTCATCATGTAACTGAGGTCTTGGTATTGTGCAATCACTACTTATCATCTGCAAAGCTTAACGTATATAGGTATTCGTTTCGTAACGGTACTCCCATGCCTTCGCATTTTCTTTTCCATGCAGTCAAGGCTTTCTTTAAGTATATTTTGAATAGGGTTGCATATGTGGAACAACCCTGCAGGAGCCCTTTTGTTGTCGTGAATTCTCCTATGATTCTTATTTCCGTTTTAATGGACACTTTATTTTCTTTATACAGAACTTTTGTAGCTGCTATGAACACTGAGTCATACGCCTTTCTCAGGTCCACAAATTCCAAATGTATTGTTTCAATACTCTCAGTACTTTCCATGACTCCGAAGTTCTTGTACCTCCTATATATGTTTCAATATTTAAGCAGGTTCTTTCCCATTCTTCATTCTTTATTGTGGTATTTGTTTTTTCACTTCTCTATCTTTTTCTCTATATTCTTTATAAACTTCACCGTTGTTCCTAGTCAGCCATTTTCTGTATAGTTTTAAAAATCCTTTCGGAAATTCAGCTTCTATCAAAATACTAACCTCAGTTTTGCAAAAAATGTTTGTCGGGTTGCGTAGCGGCGAAGTGCAAAAAAGTTCTGTAGAAATGTTTGTTATTAATTATTTATTTTTCTTAACATTCCTTAATATTCCACGAACTAAGAAGCATAATTATACAAATTATCTCTGATGTATTTAAAACATTAGTGAATTGTTTGCTAAACTTTTGTAGTGTTTGTTTATGATATAATTTGTTTTCTTGGTAAAGGATATTACGAAGCAAAAATACTGACAATATTGTTTATCTATCAATATTATAATAGTTGTTCTCTGGTATCGATAAAGTGTTTGTGGAATTTTTTTGGGAAATTGTTTGATAAAAATTTTTTAGAATTAAAAGTAATTTTCTCTGACTTTGATAAAATGAATATTTCTTATGTGAAGAGGATGAGTGATGACGTAGATTATAAATTTCAAAGGAGTCGTTTGGCCTATAGAGATATAGAAAAATGTATATATTATTGTGATTTTGAAATATATTAGAAAATTAAATAGAATTTCTATTTAATTTCTATTGACATTAACCCTATATAGCATACCGTAACTTTAAGGCAACATCGAAATTAATTTCCGTGAGAAAACTAACCTTTCATTTATTAAGTGACTAAAACTGCATATTCCGTACTGAAAGACACATTCCATCTAAGTAATCGCATAAACTCCTACGTCGTTACGTCAAGTCAAGTCAAGTTTTCGCGCCTAAAGTTCTCGGGCGTTGCCAGTCGTGTGTTATAAGCGAAATGTAGAAAATTTCGATATATCCTTACAGTTACAGTTATAACAATAATTAAATTATAGAGTCGAGAAAAGGCAAGTATCGCTCATTTCAATAATGTATGTTGCCACCACGGTTCTGGATAGCACTCATCAGTCCATTTGGCATAGAACTGCTTACGTTTTGAATGTCCCTTGGGGGAAGAGTTCATTCCTCAATGAGAATCATTCGAAACTCTTCACATGTTGTTGGAGCACGTATGTATCTTACACGCCTTTTTAGAAAGCTCCATATATGATCAATAGGATTAAGATCTGTACTTTGAGCAGGCCAGTCCATTTTTGGAATACCAATATCTTCAAAATGGTCAGCTGGAGCATTTCGGACATGTAATGAGAGGTCCCAAATATAGGTTGCTACAAAATATCATGCAAGAAGAAATAGCAAGCAAACGCAGTCCAGGACGAAGAAGAACCTCATGGTTAAAGAACTTGCGAGATTGGTGTGGTGTTGATACAAGCATGCTATTTATTATAGTGTGGCACTGAATCAAATTAAGATAGCTATGATCGTAACCAACGTTCTGAAAGGATACAGGTACATGAAGAAGAAATGAACAAGACAAAATATTTTATTTTCACTAAAAATTATAAGAAATCATACTGGTCAAGAGTATAGAATGTACAAAATATTTTTTATATTAAAACATCAATTAATTTTTGTTATGGTACGTACGCTGGTGGTGCTACTTTATCGTCGATCATTCTCGAACCATCAGGTGCTAAAAACCAAAACAGAATTAAGGCACATTACAAACGTGATATATATAACGTATTTTTCTATAGAAATTTTCAATAAAAACAGTACTACAAGAGGCGTCTATTTAAGTTTCGATGGAAGAAACAAAGTAAGTTGATTAGTGTCAAAGAATGCCCTTCTATTCTCTTTTATAGAACTAATTTTCTCTTTTACATTAACTGGAGGGTTCCTTGATCATCCAGTTTTTTTCTTCTTCTAACCAATTTGATTTAATTCTTGTTTGGATATCTCTGTTTGTAAAGTTAATCTTTGAAGTTAAACCCTTTGGAACCAATTCAGACTCTTCATGTAACCTCTCAAGAAAATCTGAGCAGATCTGTTGACGGATGAGATTTTGCTAAGGGGTCAAATTTTTTAGGACCTACTTCACACAGACTTTCTTCATGTTCAATTCGTCATGTAAATTTTTTCTGACAGTTTCTTTATCGGCGTTTATAGTCTCAGCAATCATACGAATGCTTATACGACGATCTCCGAGCACAATTTCATTCGTTTTGGTCACTCTTTGCAGAGTTGAAACAGAGACCGGTTGGCCTGGACGTTGGTCATCTTCAGCGCTCTCTCGGCCTTCAGAAAAGTGTTTATACCATTCGAAAATACGCGCACGAGATAGAGAAGACTCACCATAGGTCTCTTTCAACAAATTATAGCACTCAGTCGGAGTTTTTTTTAAATTTAACGAGAAAAAAACACGTTCTTTTCTAACCTCTACAGAAAAAATACTACTACAGCTACAAAAACGTGTTTTCGTACTGGAAGAATAGACACTTCCAGCTATCCAATGCTGCATTCGTTTTCAACACTTCCCCTTTAGGACGCCTTCTGCGCACGCCTTCTCGTTATTTAATAACCAGACCTCGTATAAGAAACAAGAAAAGGAAAATCATTATGTGAGACTTGCCCTTTTCGGTGATCAAATGTGAGCACATATTTGCAGCCACATACCCATTAGTTCTTACACTTTTTTATTTTTTGTTGAAGAAAGATTGATTGATCGTGGTAATTCCTTTTGTTTAATGTGTTTTAAGGTGATTTACCCTTTTTAACAAAGCTAATAATAAAGTTCTACAATACCTGTATAAGTATTTGGTGGGTAAATATTTGATGGAGCACTTGCAACCTGTGTAGTTTGCTGGACGTT